CTATTACAAGAGGGAGGAGGGGATGGGGGGCCGCCTCTGGCGCACGTCGCTTGCCCCGGTGCAGCCCGCCACGGCCTCCCGCCAGGGGCCCGGCGGGGCCGCCTCAGGGCCCCCTCAGGCCCCGCACGGTCCAAAGGCGGTGTCGGGAGCGCTTGGGTTGCTGCTTTATCACAGACCGCCCCAGAGAAAAGCCCGGGGGCTGTGCCTGGTCACAAAGATCAAAAGAGGTGTTTTAATCAAGGCCGAGGTGCTGTAGAATTGCGATTTCTGAGGAGAAAGCGTTCATCTGACAAGTAGGTGCTGCTGATAGACCCGTCTGAAGGACAGAAAAAATGCGTTACTAAATGACTGCCACTTGGAACACAGTATTTTGTTTACAACAGCTTGTTTACTCGCCATAGCAAGGTATGCACAGGATTATTTAGCTCTGATTAGAAGAAAGCATATGTATTTCTGAAACAATGTCTTGTTTGCATTTCATTTATTGTGTCATGACAGGACAAGTGGTTACACGTATGGACAGGGGAGAGGAAACACCAATGTGAATATGTGCACAAAATCAGGTTTTATTCACAAAGTTTACTGAGATGCTCTAGCCACTGAAAAGAACATGCTGTTGGCCCACTGCACGACAACTCCCTCTCAGGTTTACATGCAATACAACAGCAAACCAAAATAACTTGCAGTCCTGCTCCCACAGAAGATGCACTTCAAAAGATCAGCCTCTGTTTCCCCTTAGACGCACAGGGAAGTGCCCATGTGTACACCTATAAAAACCAGGCAAACAAAACCCAAGGAATGATCTTTTGAAGTGTTACCAAAGATAATCATACACCTGCCAAAATACATACTAACTGAACAAATTTAAGCACAGTTGAACCAAATGGGTCCCATAAGTGCACAATACATTTATTTACTGAACTACAGTGACAGCAGCCCAATGTAGAAAGGATGGGGGGAGGGAAGTCAACTTTTTCCTTGTTTTAAGACCTCTTCCAAGGATGAAGGAGTTTATTTTAAGTAACTAAGTCTGTAGACACAAACAAAAAGCTACATACAAACCTGTACATACACCCAGGTTAACCTCTGTAAACACAGTAAGGGCAAGTGCAGGTATTAGCATGCTTTTGAAAATCAGACTATAATTTTTATGCAAATAAGAATCCAAAATCAATGGTATTCTGTGAAAAACAAGCAAACTGTGAATCACAAGGTCAAAAAGGCTGTAAACGGTGACAGACTAATGAATGCAAACAGAAGACAATGCATTAAAATTGAACATTTTTGCAAAATATCAGGCAGTTGCATCATAAATGACTCCCAAACCTTTTGACTATTTTTCATGACAATTACTATACTTCAAAATCACCAAAACAAAGCAAATTATCAATTTTTAATATGAAGTAATAGCAGAAATTGTGAAAGGTTGGGCCTTATACTTAAAATACCAGAGAAAACAGCCGATTTTAATTCACAGTTATACTAGCTACTTACTCTGGGGGTGTCATTTCTGTCATTATTCGTAGGGACACCCAGGTATGCAGACTTGGCACTCACACCTCTCCAACGCTCCGATACAATGGCATCCTTCACAAGTCAACTGTCTATGTAAAATCAGATACTTTTGTGAATTTTTGGAGGAATATGGCACTAGTGGCGTGCTCAGCTTCAGAACACACCACCTGCCTACTCAGACTAGAAGGTTTTTGAGCGAGACATATGCTGCCTACCACAACAAGACCTAGTATGGACTGGGACCTGCAAATCCAACTAATACATACTTTAAGTGTAAATAATAAGAGGTGAAGAGCTTAAAAAAACCCTTGTGAAGCAAGTTTTGAAAAACTCTTAAACTGAAATTTCCAATAGATGAAGATGGCAATAACGCTGGCACAGCTGGCCTTGCCTGTTACTGGTAATAACAGGAAACTGCACGGCAGATGCTGCACACCCCTCACGTAGCTGATAAATAAAAACCCCAAACAACAGCCGGTGCACTCACAGACACAGGGAAGGAAAGTAAGCGAAACCTCTTAACTGACATTAGAAAATATTTTCTTGTATTTTAGAAGCAGCCAGGTTATGGAGCACACGGGCCCGATTTCTGGACAACGAGCAAGAACTTCATAACAGAACTTCTGAGACTTGAAGGAAAGTGTACCCTTGTGGTAACAGACATGATTAAGAACTACTGCTCTTTGCTAATGGCAGAGGCTCTAAGGTAAGTACCATTATCTCATATTAACAATGACTCTTTATTCGTATCACATTAAGTGGAAGAAACATATACCAGTCAAAGATGGGTACAGGATAAAGATTCTGCGTTACAGGGCTTTCGATGAAACCAAAATGACCTTTGACAAAGTACAAACACACCTATCCAAACACACATAGTTACTGTTTTACTGTATCACAGGATTAGAGTATGAGAAGACCTCTATGTCTAAGCCGTTCCTAATAAGAGATAAAGGATTGTTTTTCAAAATTAATGTTGAAACTGCTACTATCTAACAGCACACAGCTTAATTTTTCACATTAGTGTATGTATCTAAGATTTGTAAAAAATGAAGGCAACTGTTACAACTCAACAAACGGGACTAACTTAACCAGAATTAGTCAAATACAGGTGCAAAACACTGGTACAACAGAAAAAAAAAACAATCAGAAGAAAGTTTAGAAAAATTCAGACCTCATTTATAAAACTGAATGCAAGTCCTTCTAACTATCCAGTTAAAAATGAACTGCAGGGCAATACTCTTTGTTTCTCTTTTACCAATTCTCCATTTGCAAGAGGCAATTTGAAGGCTTCCTTGGTTATTTTTTGTTTGTTGTGCGTTCTTTCTTAAATATCACAGACTTGTGTATGAAAACATGCCTTCTTTCTGTTGAAAGCTAGCAAAATTTGGGCAAGTAAGGAGATGGTTTCACCATAAATGGTACGTGAACCGTGTGGGAATGACTGATTTGCGGAATAAATACAAACATCCCCTTTCCTTAGCTGTTACAGATCAGGAACATCACGGCTCAGGCTCCAGCTTATTGCAGTATCAGTAATAGTTTGAAAACCGGCAGTGCCTGCCCTTGAAGCAAGGGAGTGCAAAACATAAGCGGGGGGGGGGAAATCAGAATGCGTCCAGGATAATAGAAGCATGAAATCATTTCCCGTATTTTGCAGTTTACTTTCAACTAGTAAACACCTTTTTCACACTTACAGCAACAGCAACCTTATTACAGCAGGCAAGCTTGCTGCTCGCAAGGCCTGCCTTTGATCACCAGTCACATATTTGTGCTTCTCTCCATTACGTGGGGGATCTGTATCGAGAAATTAATCTAGAATTTCACTAGGCAGGAGTTTTTTGTGGAGCCTGGCTCCACATCCACCCCTCTGTTAATCATAGTCGATTTTAACTTTTGTAACAGTGTTCAGGTTTGGTTTTTCGCTGCTGCTCCTTCCATGAACAGAAGTTAAATGCTTTTTCAGAGCAGACTTGTGTTTAAAGTCCATGTCGCAACAATGACACTTGTAGGGCCTGTCACCACTGTGTATGTTCAGGTGATCCTGGAGGGTACTTTTGGCAGTGAAGGTCTTCAAGCACACCATGCACTGGAAGGGGCGGATGCCCATGTGCCCCCGAATGTGCCTGTTGAGATTCTTCTTTTGCGTAAATGTTTTGCCACACTGCAAACACAAGAAGAGTTTGTGCATTTTTAGATGTCTGAGATAGTTCTCAAGATGCAGAAATCCCCTCGGACACTTTGGACATTGGTGCCGCCATGAATTGCCAGAATCCTCCAGGCTCTGGAACCCATTCATCAGGCTCGAAGTTCCTTCTGGATTGTCATTGACAAATGCCTGGAAGTGATTTCCTGGCATTTCTGTATTTCTGCTTTCAACTGTAGAATTTATCAAGGAGTGCTGGGTTTCTGGAAAATACAGGTTTGTTTTAGAGGACGTGCAAGGCTGAGGAAAATGGTCATTTTCTACATTCGCTACGCTCATAGAATCCATTCTGAAGACACAGATTTCATCGTCCTTATAGCCGATTTCAACTGTTGATATTTCTGGGGTTTTTGTGTCCTTTCTTTCTGAGACCAAGCTCTGCACCGCAGGCCGTGAGACGTCCCCCTTCTCCTGCTTCACAGGGTATTCGATGTTCACCGGGCTGTCTTCAGAGATCTCAATTATTTCACAATCTTTATCCAAAACGTCATCCCCGTTTCTGAGCTCTGCATCTGAGGAATGACACCTCTCTGCAGCCTGATTACCGTTCTCCATGGAAGCATCGATTTCCAAGTATTTCGACAAAGCTTCGGTACACTTCTCCACGATGTGAACCATCTGGAGGTAACTCGCGGCGGTGAGGTATTTCAGCAGCTCCTTCTTTTTGACTTCCAGAGCCCCCGTGTAACAGGACAGCAGCAGCTTTCTGCCCACCTCGGCGCTCTGCAGGATGGTGATCCGCACCTGCCTGGACTGATTGAGCAGGAACTGATCCCTCATGAAGGTGGAGCAGGCGGCGAAGATCACCTTGTGCCCCTGGAACTCGGTGTCGTTGATGTAAATGGAGACGTCGCAGAAGAGGTTCTGCTGCCGCAGGAGGTTCATCTTCTGCAGCACGGCATCCCCCTGCTGCTCGAACTGGAAGTGCAGCACCTCCGAGTCCGCAGCCATGGCGCCG